GAAGTCAGCGTAGAAACCAACAACCTCCCACCCCCATTTTTACCCCAACTACCTCCACCTCCTCAACACAAAAAAACACAACTGAGAGTTTCAGCTTCCTGCTGTGAAGTGAAGCTTAGCACGCGGAAGATCTGAAGCTGCACTTCCTGTGTCTGAGAGCTGTCGGTGGAAAGTTGAGCAGCTGTCAGCATGGCTGCGTGCAGCCCGGAGCAGCTGACCCCGGACCAGCCCAGCCTGTGAGCGGAGGAGGAGGACATGGATCAGCAGGAGGAGCAGCAGGAGGAGCAGCCAGTCACCTCCGCATCGTCCTCCTCAGCCTCCAACGCAGAGCTGCCCTCCGAGGCCCCGGCGCCCAGCTGCCAGCAAAACAACAGGACCTTCGGCTTCAGGATCTTCTGCAGGAAGTGAGTTCCTCCTCTTCTGCTCCTTTTTGATGAGTTCCTCCGAAAAGCGGCTTTGCAACAAATGCACACATGGCTGAGTGAAACCCACAGGGTTACAGAGCGTAAACTGACAGATCTGAGCAGGAATTAGACGTTTTTATCAGAAAATATAAAGAGAACACTGCAAAACTAAAATATTATCATAAAACTACCAGTACACTGCAAAACTCAACATGTTGGCAAGTATTTTTGGTTCAAATTTCTTAGCATACTTCTTTTAATGTAAAACTAACTTTCACCAAGATGTAGGAGTTTGTTTTAAGTCAATAATTCCTTATGTTGATATAAAGGTCTAATTTCAGTGGCAGATTATTTCACTTATAAAATGGAAACACACAATAAGTAGCATTACAACTATGGGTGCACTGATTCATTCCTTAATTTTGGAGATCAATAATCAGCCGATTTTTACATGTGAAGCCGATTTTATCTACCTCAGCAAAGGTCTAAAAATCAGCATCTTTCCTCTTCTGCTCTCCAGTGAGAGGTTTGACTGACAGACTGACCCACCAGGTCATGTCTGCACGTCTACGGTTAACAATAGTCACTCCACTGTTGCCAATTCAACAACTTTATCTTGCTATATTGAGCGACATTTCAGATAAAACATTTTTTTAAAAAGTTGGTATTGGCCAAAATCAGAATCGGCAGGTCAGGTTTTTAAAAGATCAGTAATTAGTGATCGGCCAGAAAGCTGCAGTCGGCGCACCTGTCATTACAATAAATTATTTAACTTATTACGCGAGAACAGACATGAACACACAAGCATTGCAACAAATACACACAGGTTGACTGAAACCGATCTGAGCAGGAATCAGACATTTTTTTCAAAAAATAAAAAGAGAACAGCTGCAAACACACAACATTTTAGCAAGTATTTCTGTCTAGTTTCTAGTACAGATATTAGTAGACTTGAAATGAGGCAAAACTAATTTAAAAGTAACTTTTCAGCAAGATACAGGAGCTTCTTTTAAGTAAATAATTCCATAATATTGATAAAAATGTACTAGCTCCATGAGATTATTTCACTTATAACAAGGGAAAGTTTATTGTTCTAAGTGAAATAATCTGCCAGTTGAGCTAGTTTTTTTTCCATCTATATTAACTTAAGGAATTATTGACTTAAAACAAACTCCTATGCTGAAAAGTTGCTTGCATGTCATTTAAACTGCATTGGACAAAAATTGACTGAAAACAATTATTAATTCAATTTGAATTGGAAAAGAAGATTTTCTAAACACGTTCAATCCTGGAGCGTGAGCAGAAATATGCATCAGAAAACCAGCAGATGGTAGAAAACACAATATAAACATATCTTTAATTACTGAAAACTTATTAAGGCAAAATTATGTCCAGAAAACAATTAAAGACAACTCCCAAATAGTAGAAATGGTAATTGAAACGGGTTTAATCTTTAGAGATTTTTATTGAGACTAAATAACCAGAAATAAAATCTGAAGGAAGGAAGAAACTTTTCATATGACCCCAAAGGGAAATTAAATGTTGTTGTAACTCATCTTAATTAAAATCCTTCAAATAGTTATTGTAGATAGCAATGGCTGTTGACAGGAAAGTTCTGTAGCAGTCTGTGTTACAGTGAATCTGATATTTTCTAAATATTTAACAAGAATACAGCTGAGCCAGCATGGGAACAAAATATGTTTAAAATGCATAATAGATCAATGAAAGTGTAAATTGTTTTCCTCCCCGCCTTTAGGGGCCAAGAAATATATTTAGTAGTGAAAGTAAAACCGTGACCATAGCAGAAGACGTCAGGTCATAAATAACCTGCAGGTCCTGTTTTGATTTGCATCCAGCTGTGATGCTGCAGCACATTGGTGCTGCAGCTGCCACATGTTTCTGATGGTTTCATGTCTGGAGGAAGAGCAGCAGTTTAGCCTGAAACAGAAACTTTTCATGACAACCCAGGAATTTCTCCTCTGTCGAGATGAACCTTCAGAAAAGACGACACAATGCTGAAATAATTAGCTTTACTACAACTCTGCCTCTAACTGAGGGCTGAAAATTTAAACCGGTTTATTGTTTTATGACGCAGGTATCTGCAGGTATTCCTGATGGGAAGTTTTTAGCTTTCAGGCTATGCTTGACTTTCAGTATTAAAAAACAAAATCAAAAAAGATTTTCACAATTGGCTTTATTTGCCAAGTTTGTGTACAGAAACAGAATTTGACTTACAGACGTACAGATATTAAGTGAACACAAAAAATTTGGTTTTACATATTTGCCATTGAGGAAAATCTAGTGAAGTAAGTTGTAAGCAACTTTTAGGCACAATAATATTAATATTGATCAAAAAGTTACAGTTCCACTGGCAGGTTGTATAATTTAAAACATAAAAAAAAGTCTTGTTTTAAGTAAAATTATCTGCTAGTAGAACTATTAAGTTTTTAAATCAGTAATAAGGAATTGGTGACCTAAAACGAGCTCCTAAATCTGTCTTATTTTAAGTTTACTAAGATGTTTTATATTAGAAACTAGACCAAAATTACTTTATGAGGTTTGTGTTTTTGCAGTGTACGCCTGACAGGTTTATTTTACTGTGGGTAAAAAGAAACTCAGTTTATTGCGTAGTTGTTGCGGTTTTGTGAAATTGATTGGTTGTTTGATCCGTCGGTTATCGGTAATGTCAGATTTCCTAGAAAACCTGAAATTTGTCTCTGTGTGTTTCAGCTCTGGATAAATACGAAAACCTGATACGGAAAATAATTCTTCTGTGTTCGAGATTTTAAAAGATGAATTACTCTTATGAATTATTGATGTTTTTTCTCCATGTTAACTTCACAGTCGAACTACATTTATATTAGAGATGCACAATATTTCGGCATTAAACATACAAGTTTTGGTGGTGGCCATGTTCTTATTCATAAACTGGGCCTGACGTTGGGGCAGTAGCCCAGGGCTCCAATCTGTAGGGGGCGTCACAAAGATTTTTCTTTTTTTTTTTTTAAACTAGTGGTTGTTTTTGAAAACATTGTACTTTTATATTTGTGAGTTGTATCATTTTAAGACTTTTTGTAATAGAGACAATTTTCAAATATTTGACAATAATGAAGTGATAGTCAATTTTCTTTGGAAACAATATAAAGTTATTGGGTTTTTTGTCCTTTTAAATCATGTTGGAATCTCTGTTTTACAGTAGTGACACTTGATTAATCAATAACTAATCATTGATTATGTCACATTCGACAGATTCTAGCCATTTCAAAATAAACTTACAAAATAAGTGCAGTAACACTGCATTTTATTAAAAGTTCTGTGGAAGTTCAAGTTCTGCCACACAGTAACAACTATTTTGAAAGAATTTCCGTACGAAACCTTCCTCAAAACCAGCCATTGTTGTGAAAAACAGTCCGAATTTTAACAATCCACCAAAGTTGGTTTTTCCAGCCAAACGAGTTCAAAAGCTGGGCAGAAACTGACCTTGTCCGGCAACATTACCGAATATTTTTTGGGGAGCTTCAAACTGCTGCTGCTCGTACTCAACAGTCCGTTGCTAGGTAACCAAAAAGAGTGAGAGAGTTGCTAGGTAACCAAACAGTGAGAGAGTCAGTTGATTCCACCAACATTTTTTAGCTAGCTGTGAGAGGTTGAGTAGCTAAAACATTTCTTCTGCCTACATCCCCCAGAGTACTGTGTGGTTCTGGATCGGAACTCATTTTATCAAACATATTAATTATTGATTTATTGTCTATTGGATTTTACGTTATTCCTTTGAAGGAACGACATAAAGCCCATTTAGCAGTTGAAACCGGATGTTTAGAAGGTAATGACTCTGAATGTAGTTTCATTTGACGTTTCAGCGCTCTTTGTGAATTACCATACGACTCCTCCGCTCTCTATTATTGTTTAACTAAACGTTTTGTCACCAGTTTAGTTTCTATGAATCCGTTTCCCATCATATCGGTTTGCATTACAAAACATTTTTCAGTTTCTCCTTGTGCCTCCGCTGTTTTCTGCTGTTTTAAGCTTCGATTCGGAAACTTTTCATCATCTTTCACCGTTTTGTATAATTAAATGCTGATTCAGACGCTCCAAAACAACGTGCTTGAAGTTTTAATTTACTGGAAACTTTTTGAGTTGGAGGTTTACATGCGAAAAATCCAGCAGAGGCGATCGTATTCAGATTAACTCTGAATATTTACAGCTTGAAAGATGTTTTCCTGATGATGATGAAGATGCTTCTACTCCACTCGTTTCTAAAATGAATCGGTAGATTTATGGACCCTCTTATGAATTAGAAAAACAGTGAAATTAGTGTGACAGTCGGCGGACACCTCTGCACAGGAAAAGAGAAACGATCCTGCTGTTCATCTTCATCCAGATGTTTCCAGCTGGAGCTTAGCGCTGCAGCGAGTCAGTTTCAGTGAAAACGGTTACAGATAGGATCTGATCTTAGGGGTGTTTTTTAGTTGTTTTTACCATAGAAACTATAAAAAGATTGTAAATGCAGTTTAGACCAGATCCGGAAACCTGCTGTCCAAAAAAAGACAAACGCTTCAGTTTCCTGACCTTTTTTTCTTTTCTTTTTCACAGAGTTGTTGTTTTTTACTTTAACCTGAAACAAATTCAATAAAAACCAAAAAGAACCAAAACATATCAGACTCTTTACAGTAGGACAGGGTGATAAATCGATTATCGATCACATTTTTGGTTTTTGAAGACTTTATTTTTGGGAAATCTGTTTTTTTCCTACTGTACTTCAGAGTGATGTCAGCGCGTCCACGGCGGCCATGTTGTTTGAGAAGCGTGTTTTACAGTATTTATTTGGACTTTTAATTCAGGTCAACTTTACAACCGAATATTAGAATATTAGGCCACAATTTTATTCTGTTAATATTATCACTATATTCTCATAACCAAACAAAAATTCTTACAACTTGGCCCTGATACTCTGTTGTATGACAAACAAAAGGAATTATTGAACTGAAAACCACTTTTAGAAAATATTTTCTGTCATTCATATTTTTTTTTTTTTTTTTTTTTTTTTTTTTTTTTTTTTTTTTTTAAAAAAAAAACCGATTAAATCTGGTTCCGGAATGAAAAAATTTTTTTAATAATAATCTAGAATGCCTTT